TAGCTAATTTTTATCACATCATTATAGGTTTATATCTAGTTTTAATTCTGTAATAATTAAAATATGTTTTAAACGTGTATCTCTTTATTACCGTTGAGTATTTTACTCTACAATCTTTAATTTTTGTTAGAGCAACAAAAGGTATATCACACAGCCACCCTAGATTTTTTCAAATAATAAAGATCTACTGCAGCAAAATCATAAAAATTAAAATATCTAGGAAAATATTTGATTGAGGGGTAGGCAACCTTAATAATATTTTGAAGATATATAAATTCCCCATTGAACACCGGAAAAATATACTGGGCATTCCATTTAAAATAAAGGAGTAACTTCCATAAAATCCATCAAGATTCTGTGGGAAAAATGGGGAAACACCAAAAAACTTCATCACTGAGTGCGTCGAGACGACAACCATTCGTGCTACAAGCTTTGGTACGACTGATATCGGAGATGGAGAACTAACCTCTGTAAAACCGTCTCAGATACTGGATTTTATTAAAGCCCTGAGACTGTATGATGAGTTATAACTCAAAAAAGGGGAACGCAATAGATCTATAAGGTTACGGTGATCAACTTACCCCCTACAATACAATCTACAATTGTCAATTTTTATGATTTTTTTTTCTCTGCGTCTTTTAAACTCTTTTAAACTCCTTATTTTGCACGGCATTAGAGAAAAAAACATTGTTGGAAAAGCTGTGTAAACACATCAATTGCCAGATCGTTGAGAACATTGATATCATCATCATCATTTAGCTTATTCCGTCCACTGCTGAACAAATACCTTCCTCAACTCTAGCCATTTCTTTCTATTGTGTGCCACTTGAATCCAGTTCCCACACTGAAAAAAACTACTCAGTCGAAATGAATATGACTTTGACTCAAAAGATTGGCGCTTTTCAATAGGGCCAAGAGCGACGTTTCTTTGCCCAAAGCATTAACTATCTTTTCATAAGCTTTAAAAAATTACTTTAGAGAATAGAAGAATCTATCTGTCCAAAGTATTTCACTCTTGATCCAAAATGAATATGCAAAGAAGTTCTTGCTACAAGAACAATAGTCTCTTTGATTCATGCAAAAATTCTTGATTGAAAAGGGACATTTCTTGATTAAAGAGACACTTTTCTTAAAGCCTTGTCTTAAAGCAATAGCGAATACTATTGACTCAACTAAAATTTATTTTGATCTAAGAGAAGTCTATACATCATATACAGGTATATTACGAGGTATATTATTTTCTGATAAATTTAGGTTTTTTTGGTCTGTATTAAATAAAGTGATATGATTTTCCTCGATAGTAGTTATTTCTGCTTCTTCACTCCTTGGTATTTTTTGGGGTGGTTCATCATTCTACAAATTACAAAAAAAAAGTAAAGCAAATAAATTATTAAAGTTATAAGCTTTGGTCACATTTTGAATTTTTTAATACGACGACTTGAAATTCTAAAATTTTTGTAATTATTTGCATAAAAAAATCGATACCTATATATTCTTATTCTATCTATAGTCACGCATGCATTATCTAAATAGGTGCATTAGGTAAATGTCTCTTACCTTCAAATATAGTAAATAAATGCTCTAATTTCCATTTTTTCAGAAACTCCTTTAAAGAATCCATATATCCTAAAATTTGTCCATACAAAATGACAAATGCATGTTAATAACGATCACTAACTTGTTATACGATAAGCGTTTAAAAAGCAAATTAAGCAAAATTCCAAGTGGAAAATTCCAAGCAACAAAACCCGTGCGTACTATGATGTGCGACCTATGAAATGCGACGTACGACTGATCGGACTGCCAACTGATTGTATATACCGTCCTTCGTCATCGTTTTTGCGTGTCGTTATTATTTTTCATCAAAAGAGTATTTAGCTATTGGAAAAATGGCCATGTTTCTTGAACGAAGTACTTCCTAGCGTATTTTTCTTATTATCTTAAAACAAAGTAACTTGCACTTGGTTCAATGAAAATAGATTCAAGAGAAATTTTCGAATTTTTCAAGAGAACCAGTTTTCTTGAGTTAAGAAAGTTTTTCTTCAGGCAAAATATTTTCTTTTACGCTAAAATAAAGTCTCTTGCCACTAATTTTTTTTTTCAAGAACGATAACGACTTTAGTTCAAGTCTATCTTTTTTATCAGTGCAGCCACTCTTTGAATATCATCGCTGTCCATCGACTAGGAGGTCGTCCTCTGCTTCTATAGGCCTCGTGTCTTGGTCTCCATTACACAAGTCTCTTTGTCCATCGTCCATCTGTTATCCTAGCCACACGTCCTGCCCAATTCCGTTTAAGATATAAGACAGATATCAACGCATCTCTTACTCCTGTTCGATTTCGTATGGTATGATTGGGTATTTTATCTCTAAGTGTAACTCCCAACATGGACCTTTCCATTTTCCGTTACATGACCTGTATTCTATATATGTTCTTTTTTGTCAAAGTTAGTGTTTCAGCTCCATACGCGAGGACAGGCAAGACACACTGGTTAAAGACCTTTCTTTTTAAACATATTGGAAGATCAGATCTCAGTATATGCTTTAGTTTGCGGAATGCTGCCCACGACAAACCTATTCTTCGTAGAATTTCGTGTGTCTGATTATCCCTTCTAAAACCGATCACATTGATATCAACTAATGTCAAATTGTTACTATTTTTTGTTGTTGAAAAAGTCTAAAGTTATCGGGCTACTTAAGCGACAAACGAGCCGAGGCAGCGGCGCGCGCTCGTACCGCGTCTAACGGTACCCGCGGCGCGGTACGTTGACCCATTGGGCGGCCCTCAGGGGCACCGGCGAGGGGGCTTGCTTTTGGAGTTCTTGGTCACTGTCACACACCTGACTACGGCCGGGACTATACGTGGAGGCGACGCGGACGACGGCAATGCCTCGTTTCTGGGTTAGGTACTCATCGATAATATGGTACCACCACATAATAAACGTATTTTTTTCTATGATTACAGCGCTGCTTATTAATCAATAAAAAGTTTATTATTGGGGCCAATAATACAAGATTTACTTGTAACAAATGTATACTGGGTTGGGTTAGTTACTAGATAATCACGAGGGGTGTCAAATTGTATTTTCTATACTTTAGGTTTTTGCCTCATTCGAATAAGTTTGAAATTACAAAAATTAATTTCAGGGACACTAACCATAGGTACTATAACGGTACTAAAACGTATAACGTAGTAGTATAGACAGTACAGGGTGGCGCCTCTTATACGACGCGGTTAAGTTAGGAACGCCAGCAGAACGGTAGTTTATATCGAAATGAAATGTTTAGAGCATATGTAAGTTAATTGAAAGCATTTCATAAAAATATATGGAGTTCTACAGGGTGTCCCCGAAAAAAGTTACGCATCAAAGTTGTTTTTTGTAATGGTACACCCTATATAAATTAATCGATTATTGAATTCTAGGAAAAAAATAAAGGTGAGTTTCATTAAAGAAGCCTAAAGTGTAAGAAATTTTGACATATTTCACCAAAGTTCATATTTCGCATTTTGTGAAAATGAAGAATACATTTTAAATTTCAATAACAACTACCTAAACTGTAATTTGCCCTGTATAGCCTGATATTTAATTACAATGACCATTGTATATTAAACCAAATTACAATTTGACCCGAAAAGTTATACAGGGTGAGAGAAAATTAATACTGAACATTTGTCACTTTTAAAAGCAAGTTACTCTTTTTTTTTAAATGGAACATCCAATATATTATTCCGGTATTCAATGGAGAATTCATATATCTTTTTAGTTTACGTTAAGGTTGCAACTAAAACAAATATTTTCCTGCATGTTTTCCTTTTTATGATTTTATGTCAGTAGATCTTTAAAATCTAAAATCTAGGTGGCTACGATTTAGAGCAAAATATTAAACGGTAATAAAAAGATGTTTAAAACATATTTTAATTATTACAGAATTGAAACTAGATTTAAACGTATAATTATGTGACAAAAATTAGCTAGATTCTTTCCTGTTCACTGCATAAAATGATTTTCTTTTCATGTTAAAAGGCATATGTGGAGTCTACTTCCAAAGGCAGCCACAATTTCTCTCAGGTAAACACTGAGGTTTTTTTTATTTAACTGACCAAAAATGAGAATAACTTGTTAAAGAGTACTTGTTAAAGTTGCATTAATTCGACAGCGATGTTGAAGTAACGTCAGGCATATCATAGCCACCTATAGTTTATCAAATAATAAAAATCTACTGACACTAAATTATAAAAATGAAAATATTTACGAAAATCTTTGTTTGAGGAGTAGGCAACTTTAATAGTATTTTGAAGAGGTATGAGTATATATCTATTTAATATCGGAATAATATACCGGATGTATCATTTAAAATAATAATAATATAAGAGTAACTTGCTTTAGAAAGTGGCCGATGTTCAATAATAATTTTGCCTCACCCTGTATAACTTTTTGGGTCAAGTTTTATTTTGATATAAAGTACAATAGTTATTTTAACTATTTATTATGCTATACCGCGTAAACACCAAATTTAGGTAACTTTTATAGAAATTTTAAAATTGTTCTTCATTTTTGGAAAATCTTAAATATGTGAAAAACATTTTTATCATCTAAAATCCGAAAATCAATTAATATATAGAGTGTTCCATTACAAAAACACAACTTTAATCTGTAACTTTTTTTGGGGACTTTTTTAATATCTGTCAGTTTAATACCACAGTTTTAATTTAAAAACAGATACAATTTTTCTTTAATTAGTTAAAATCGGCTGGTTCAAAATTGTTCAAATTTGGAATATATGTATATTCAGCAGAGGCGGACCTTTAGAAAACCTATTTACCAATTCGCTCTGTAAATTTAACTGGGAAGTCAATATTTGGACAATTCAAAATTTGCATAGGATTTCCTGTTTCCAACGAGGATGCAACACCCGGTATATATAAGTATAGTTTGGCTAAAATCTAACAGAATAAAATTCGTTTTCAAATTAGTTTAAGATAAATATTAACAAAACACAATTATTTTTAATTCTTTATTTATTGCTTTTCGATTAAATTTTCAACATGATTGGTATCTAAGTTGCATAATGCAATGAACAGTATCAACAGACGCTACAATAGTTTCATCTAAAGATGGCCCAAATAGCACCCTAAAGCAGCTTGTCCAAATAATATCTATCAGTTTTTGGTATTCGATTTTAATTTTGATAGCATCACTGAAAGATAATTCATAATTTATATCGTTTGATTTTAATTCCTGTGTTCTTGGAGACAAACTAGATGAACTGTTTTGGCCAACAGGTTCATCTAATTTATGAATCACTGATACTTTTTCATTAGGCTCTTCATCACTGTCATTTTTACGTTTAGTTCTTTTCGGCGATTTACCTTTAAATGGATTAAACAGTGATTTAAGAGATTTCTTAGTTAAATCAACTTCTGATATTTCTATAGGTTTGTTCTTTTCTCTGTTACTTAACGACGACTTTTTATGTTCCACTATAACCGATTTATCAGTTTTGATCAAAGTATTGAATTGTGCTGTTTTATCGTTTGTGTTATATATTTTCTGTAGCTGGAATTCTTTTATGTTTGATGCAAGATCTTCTTCATCACTTCTACGTGACCTGGAAGTTTGGCAGCAAGGATCAAAGCAATTTTCTGGATAACAATAATTTTTATATCTACAAAATATTAGTTGGTTAATAACGAACATGTTGTTTGTTATAGGCTTGGTGTATTTCAGTTGATTTCAACAAGTTCCGACCGCAGCGCTTTATCGGCAGAAATCAGAAATTATCAGTATGTATGAGTATTCCACGCCGCGCACCGTACCGGTTACTAGAGGTGTGTGAACTATTCCGACCCCGGTATGAAAGGAACTAGTTCCCGGTTTCTCAAATAACGAGTTTCTCAGGACCTATTCCGGGATCGAGACTGTGACAGATATCCTAGATCGTAGCCCGATGCTAGGCAGGAGTGGGGAGGGCCAGCCGTATGTTATCGGATCCGGACCTAGAGGAACTAAATAAAAGACTAGTTTACGTACGGATCGACCAGCGCAATCGTATACCGATGCTAGGCGGGAGTGGGGAGTGCCAGCCGTATGTTATCGGATCCGGACTTAGAGGAACTATAGGAACAAAATAAAATACTAGTTTACGTACGGATCGGCCAGCACGATCGTAGCCCGATGCTAGAAGTGTTTTTAAGTAGCCCGATGAAGAAATAGAAACTAAGAGTGGAGGGTGTCAGCCGTATATTACCTGTCCCGGACCGAAAGGACTGATAGGAACTAATTAAAAGACTAGTTCACGGGAATCAATTCAATCGGCAGATCCGAGATATAATACAAGATGACGACGATGGATTCGGCATTGTCTATTGCCACAGCCGGCGCGGCGTAATTACCGGAGAAAATTGTCGTCGATACCGTTTTTCATTTTTATTTTGTTCTTTGAATATTTTATCGAAATGTTTCACTTTACGACCCTAAAATTAAGGAATGTCTTATAAAACGAAGTAGATATCCTGAATTTTTAGACAAAAACAAAAAGCTTGAAGTTGGGAAAAATGCAATTTTTTGTTAAATTTTCGTATTATTTGCTGCAATTGATTTGTGATATAGTTTTTTAAACTCTGATTTAAGTTTTATTTTTTCTTACCTATGTATATGTTTTTAACATACGCAATTACACGCCCCTTATATTTCGCTCATTATAAAAATTATACAGATCCAGTGGCGGATACAGAGGGGGGGGGCCTATGGGGCCCGGTTACAATACTATATAAATTATATATCACTTTAATCACAAAACTTCAATCTATTTCCGTATTGTAACGGAATTTTAAATTATATCTTTGTTTTCGAGAAAATTTAGTCCAAATATAAGGAATATTTTGTTGATGTTTACCATCAAAATCTTAAAAATAAAGAAGTTGTCTAAAAATCTGTACAATACGGATATAGTATAATCCTTTATCTTTAATTTCCTGCTTCATTTGTGTAAGAATACCTAGCCAGTTTTACATAAAACGTTAAATGCAGAGCCCTTATTTTGCTACTTTTTCGGACTAGCTAAATGGACTCTTAAAACAGACTTACCTAGGCATTAGTACCCATACTTATGATGAAATAAATGATATGATGAATGACTGAATGCGAATAAAGAAACTTGAATTTTAAACGCATGTAACTGAACTGACACTGACTTATAACCTAGCAAAAAACAATTTTTCGAGACACATATCGGTATCGGTTGTCATTTCATAGTTTTGTCACTTCACAATTTACTCAAAATTCCAAGTAATTCCTCTGCGACCAAACTCCCCCAAACCATGTCGTCGAAAAAATTTAAAAATACCGTCAAAACCATCACAAGAAACCTAGTCACCCATACCGATGCTATGGAAGTGGACCTACAAATCCTTATCGCAAACATGTTGGAAATTATCGAGTCCAAGATAACGTCTTTGAAGAAACTTCTCAAGTTAAAGATGTATATCAGACGCGTGAAAGGGTTCAGTTCGCTACAGAAGATCGTTAATGTGGATGACGTTACTAGTGAAACGTATTCTATCAGCAAACAGTCAAATCTACCTGGTTCAAATGCCGTTCACGGTTCTCTGGATGACTTGCCATCTCTAGCTTACGCTCTGGACCAGTCTTCTTTGCCTGCAAGTGAAGCAAAAGCCTTGGAAAACATTGACGAAAAATCTGAAGATGTGAATAAGGGTATTTTGGACATGGACAGTTTGTGTTGCGATTTGAATCCGCAAAAGAGTCAAACTATCGGAAGTTCTAAAAAGTTATGTAACAGCGATAAAATAGTGTCGTTGGACAAGTATATTTATGTGCTTTTGGATGAAGAGTTTAAGAAATACGCTAAAGAAAAAGAAGATCGTGAAAATAGAAATAATAATGGCGATCGTGAGGGTGAGTATGAAGTATTTTTAATAAAGAATTTCTGAGCTACTGCATTCACCAACAAATAGAATCATATCAATTCTCTCTGATGTAGGAGAAGTTTGCATTTTCGGCAAGTTTCTGAGATTTTTTTTTGTTTTAACTGACACAAAATGATAACTAGTTGTTAAAGTTGGACTAATTAGGCATCTATGTTGAAGTAACGCCAGAATATCACACCCACCTAGATTTTATCAAATAATAAAGATCTACTCGGATCAGATCATGTACCTAAATTAAAATATCTAGTAAAACCTTTGTTTGAGGGGTAGGCAACCTTAATAGTATTTTGAAGAAACATGAATTCTCTATTGAATATCGGAATAATATACTGGGTGTTCTATTTAAAATAAAAGAGTAACATGCTTTTAAAGGTGACCAATGTTCAATATTAATTTTCTCTCACCCTGTATAACTTTTTGGTTAAAACTCACCTTGATTTTTTCTCCCAGAATCCGAAAATCAATTAATATATAGGGTGTTCCATTACAAAAAACACAACTTTGATATGTAAATTTTTTTGGGGACACCCTGTAGAATTCTCTCTATTTTTAAAAAGTGCTCCGAATTAACCTGCTCACCAAATTTCGTTTCAAACTGTCGTTCTCCTTGGAGACCCCGCGGCGTATGAGAGGCGCCACCCTGTATAACCTGCCTCAATTATTCAATAATTAACTTAAATGTTTATCAAAAGTCTCCAAAAATATAAAACATGTATTAAAAGTTTCGTTAGTTCTACAAATTAACTCAATAATTTAGACATTCATACAAAATTTCCGAACTAATATAGGTCAAATTTTATTCATCTTTACAGAAAAATATGCTAATAAGTATCATGCTTAATTTACTTAGCTTGGAAAATTTGGCGTTGTTTTGCAACCTACTGGCCAAACAATTTGCAACATTGAATCATTAATTCGAACTAAACAGGAAATATTATCTTAGTCATATATATATGGGGTCATAAGATGACCCCATTCTTCTTTAACGCGTAATATTGTTTAATTATTTAACATAACATGAGTTATTTAAAAAAAAGACCTAAGAGCTAATGTTATTCTCTCCGAGATATATCTGATAGTGTAATGACATGTATATATGCAAAAACAGATGTATTTTGTGGTCGAAGTAAACTAGTTATGTATATAGAGTTATTTCAAATTAAATTTTAAATACCAAGTGTCCACTATTCTTTATTTTCTTTTTATCGAAGCGCAGAGTTGCTTAAATTAGCAAACTGGTGATATTAGCATAGTATAAATAGAAAAAGGTGTCGATGATGAAGTGGCATTTGTTTTTTAATATCTCTTCAAATAAATAGGTAAAATTAAAACAGATTTTTCATTTCTTTTTTTTTAATACTTTCGGGACTATTTTAAATGGAACACCCTGTATTTTGTACCATAATCGAACGAGGTTTTGTTTAATCGTTAATGTTTTCTTCTTTATATAAAGTGGCATTCTAGATTTGAATTGATTGAGTTTCTTCCATAAGTACTCCACGTTAACTTAATTTTTCTGTTAATTTCTGGTACTCACTGTTCGGTTTTTATATGATTCAAAATAAAAAATATATAAATTGTAAAATTAGTAATTTTTAATGGCCATAATGCGTTCTTTCAAAATCATCGAACAACTAAATCATTTCCATAGATCCAGTGACGTACCGTGACTTTGAATTTTGAGACCAAAAACTGACAAATAATTTGTCAAAAAAATCATATTACAGCTATATGTTTTATTTTGCATAAAAATGTTAACCAATAAGTTAGAATAATTATATTTCTTTCCTAACTAAGTGGTTTTATCGCTAAATTTAACTAAAGCTAAATACAACACAAATTTTAAATACGTGGACTATTATAACAACAAATACATCGTAAAAAGACTATTTTGGTAGCATTCTGAACGAGGATTCAAATTAAACTTTTTAGAAAATAATTTAAAGGAAAAATGAACCTGCTCAGATGCTTGTTCCGAGTAAAATCCTAGAGCTCTATGATTTGCTTTTATAAACTCTGGCACATGATGCACAATTGCATGAATCTTTGGAGTTATCTTAATACCTAAGTTGAGTATTTCCAATCTAAATTGTTCGATGTCATGTTCAAAATGTTTGTTTAGTGCTTGACCAAAACAACTCAAAACTACTTCATTGAATGCAGAAAACACTGCAATATATTTATTTCCTAAAAAAAAGAAGATGTTTAGGTTTTTGCTTGTCAAAACTTTGAATAGGATTCTTTACCGGGCGATATCGTCTTCAAAATATCCACTTTCTTTAAAAGTTGTCTGACGTTATTTCCGTTACATTTTCCATAATGATCTAGTTTCAATCCCGCTTTTTTATCCATCCTGTTGCAACATTGGTATTCTCCAATTCAAGACAATCAAATAGTTTTTGAACGACACCTAACAAAAGGTGAAGCTCAGGAGGGGGAATATACTTTAAGACACGTGTTTCTTCGTCGCCAATGGTTAAAGGTATGTTTATACAGTTTTCTAAAAAATAATTGCCCTTTTTTTATATGGTTCATTGAACAACAGTTTAAAAAATACAAAAAAAATATTTCAAACAAAAACGCTTACTAAAATCTTTGGGCTTTTGTTTTATTTCCTCCAGATTGTTGCCATAAATTTGTATTTTCTGTAATACTTTTTATAGTTCTGAATGATTCTTTAATTTCCATTTCCTTTACATTTACATCATACCATAGGCAAGTGTGAGTGGATGAATTTGACTAAAGACCAAGGAGAATCATAATAAGCTTAAAGTAAGCGGCAAAAGTATAGGAACAAATTCCACATATGGACTGCAGATCTAATGTCTCAAAGAGGCTTTTAATGTTAGCATAAGATTCAGACAACTTTGGTCCTAAGCCAATTATGAATAGTTTATTAATTCCAGCACTTTTATATTTCTTGAAATATTCGGGAAGCATTTTCAGGGAGCACATTCAGACAATCTTTAAGTGATCCACCACATCTATCAATGCCAATTTTTACATGAAAATCTTCAGATAATTCTCTAATTTCCAAAATATATGATAGAAGACCAGATAAATCTGAGCAGTATACAAAAATTAATATTAACTAAATTAACATTTTTCCTTTAAATTGTTTTCTAAAAAGTTTAACTTGAATTCTCGTTCAGAATGCTATCAAAATAGTCTTTTACCATGTATTTGTTGTTATAATAGTCCACGTATTTAAGATTTGTGTTGTACTTAGCTTTAGTTAAATTTAGCGATAAAACCACTTAGTTAGGGAAGAATTATAATTATTCTAACTTATTAGTTAACATTTTCATGCAAAATGTTAACTTAAAAGAAAAATTATTGTTTCAGTTTTTGGTCTCAAAATTCAAAGTAACGGTACGTCACTGGATCTATGGAAATGATTTAGCTGTTCGATGATTTTGAAAGAACCCATTATGGCCATTAAAAAAATACTAATTTTACAATTTATATATTTTTTATTTTGAATCATATAAAAACCGAACAGTGTACTAGAGATCCCGAGCTATGTATTAATTGCTTCAAATATATATATTCTTCTACTATTTCCAGTATTGTATTATTTACTAGAATGTCTTTTGTCTTTTCTGTCTACCAATTCGTTTTACATTACTTTAGTTTTTACTAATGTAAAATCGGTATTTTTGGTGCTTACTCAACCGGGTCTCACAATGCAAATTCACCTCAAATATCCATTTAGTTGGTCATTGGCAAGCACTCTCTCATTGTACATGAAAATAACAAAACAAACATTTACTGATCTGGATAAAATTGATAGTTAAGTAGTAAGACTCACCCGGGGGTACTCCACCCCCTAGCCACTGCCATCACTGATATTCTATTCAATATATCACATTCCATATCTTCCATCTAATTCAAATATTATTCGGATCTATTGGTTAATAATCTTCAACAACTAGCTAGTGTCACCTGAAATAGTATAGGGGCTTCCCCCGGACGCAATTCTGCCGCTAAACAGATTCGCATCCCAATCGAATAAGCTATTTGGGTAGCTCACCATCCCAACGCCGCATCGTCAATCGAGAAGACATTATGGAGACCTCAAACTCTCAAGATCAACTCGAAGGCAAGACGTCACAGAGGTTTTCTTACCGTGGTCAAACGACCCCGTTGGCTTACAGTCAAACGACTTGCAACTATATTAGTCAAAAGACTCGCAACCTCCATTTGTCAGCTCTGTGACAAAACACAACACTACACAGCCGGCCGGCCTATCAACAACTGACTGACCTGCCGCCTCCGAGCTAAACCTCCTCTTACATCACAATTTTACCTGATCACAAATATTTACATCGCTTGCCAATGAATCATACTGTTTTCCCTAATCGACTTTCAAATAGAGTGTTTTAGCATTACCAAATAAATAAATAGAGAGTTTCCGAAGGAATGCATATTGTTTATTAGAATAGTGAATACATAAAAGCATTATTATGACGAACTTATTTTCCAAGTTTTACAATAAATTCATTTTGAGACCTATTTTATTGCTGGCTGTATTTAGTTCGTTAATTTGTGCTTGTAGACTTTTCAGAAATAGTGATAAATAAATAAAAAATATATTTTTCAGCCTTTTAAAAAAAAATATTAAACATACAAGAAATGTCCTGAAATCAAAACTGTATTAGGTATTTACTTTAGATGGTCTATACTTACTTTGCTATAAATATCCTAATCGTAAAACATACAGGGTGTTCAAAATAATTCTACGCCAAAGTTTCTAAAATATAAAATAATTTTTCTTTATTTTTTTTTAAATGGAACACCCTGTATATTATATTTCTATTAGATGGAGAGTTAGAAAATGAACAATTTTTTTATTTAAAGTATTTCAAAATTTTGAATGATTTCGCAGATACACGCAGTATTATTTCATATGGCTCTTTCAACTGTAAAATACGGGAGAAAAATCATTGGATGGCTTTGGAAAAAATTTACTATGGGAAATGCCATATGAAAGATAAGACCGCGAATATCTGCAAAACCATTAAAAATATTGAAATACTCTAATACATATCAAAATAATATAATAATATTATAATATAATAATTTAATAATATTTTTTAATTCTCGGTCTATTGAAAAAATAATATACGGGGTGTTCCATTTAAAAAAAAGGAAGAAAAGCTCATGCCCCCCCCCTAAAGCGTGTAAATTGGGTTAAATATTAGGCTTTTAGGTTAAAAATGGCGTCCTAAAAGGCATATTTTGCATTATTTTTTATTTGGGTCCCCCCTAAAATAAATAAAAAAAAAGCCCCTGGTTTAATTGACTTCGGGTTTGCGTGCCCAGTTATTTTGTCTATTGTGTTCTCCCCAACCACCTTCTTTGCTAGTGTCGACACAGCTCTTGCACGTAGCTAATTACTTTCTCCGTAGCCAAATCTGATTTTTTCGCTTCGATAGACACCTATTGAACAAACGTATTTTTTCCAACAGGAAGGTTCTTGAACCATTTACCCGTTTTCCAGGAAGGATTTACAGTTAAAAACAATCTTGGAACATTAATTAATTTTCTTTTTTCCATAAATTTTTGGAATAGCCTTACTGGACATACATATATCCGGTTGACCTCTATTTATGTCCAGCCATTTTGACATTCTTCATTACAATTACGTACCATCAATTTCTTCGTATTTGAGTGCCTTAGAGCTTTCTTTTCTTTTTAGAGGGTCCATCTGCAATTCCTTCATTTTGGCACTTTTTGCCTCCCGGAATATTTTAAATTCGGTGTCAGTAAAGGGATTAAATTTAATATTATATTTTTTTGGTATTTTTCCATTAATAGATTGGCTGTTACATTCCAAATAGTTTTTTTCCGTAAAATCTTTATAGTCTATATAATCTATATCTCTATCTATATCTAAATGCCCAATCGGTCAAAATATTGGCCAGTGCCGAGATTCGCATCCAAAATGTAGTTTCTATCTTTTATAAAGTCCATAAACTATTTTCATACATACTGGTGATTAATTATAGTGTTTTTCGGCTTACTTTCGGCAAATTTTTCTTTAATTGCACCATAAAACATCCCCCTTTAGAACTTCGTCTATCATGTTAAGAAATGAAAGTAAATAATAAAGCGCCTCTCGTGTTTGTTCGCACTCAAAAAATTTCAATTAATGCCTTTATATATTTTTAATATATTTTTTAAAATTTCATTTTTTAATTGTAAAGTAATATATTACATTTAAATGGAATATATTACATAACAATTATGTCAATTACAGGATTACAAGCTTGTTTTCTAACATTTTTTAAATAAAACGAATTATAAAATTTCAATATATGTATGTATATTTGTCGTAGGTATGAAAAAAGTAAAATATAAAATGGACATACGTTTACTTACATTGCATTAAAACTTCCACTTTTAGTTTTGCAATCCAAACGCAATATTTCTATTTCACAAATAAAAATATCCGACAGCACTAAATTCACTGACACTTCCGCGGCTGACAACGAAAACTGGAAAATATAACGGCACATTTTGTTTTGGACCTGCATATCAACATTACGCTGTACTATTATGTGTTTGTTGTTGAAATAATATAAAATATCTAATTATAACTTGTAAATTTTAATATTTTAACATGATTTTAACTACTTTTGACAATAACTAAACTTTTTGTTATCAAGATGACATTTTAGACGGCAACTGACATATATGTCATAATATTTGAATCTTAAATTTGTATGTAATAGAATTTAAATTACTAAAATGCAACTTTATACTAAGAAAACATTTGTACATTCACAAAATACAACAAAGTCTAATAGTATAGTTTGAAAACAATGAATATTGAATTAAAATTGAAAAAATTAAGCGCGACCCCTTGTGTCAAAATTAGATGATTAAATTTTCGCAATTTTTACACCATTTGATGACCGGTGGCGCCTCTAGTGTTTGTTCGGTCGGTTAGGCTTTTATTCCCGCTTATGGCCATTAAAGAAAAAAAGGGGGATGTTTTGTGAATTGCACTTAAAGAATCGTTTCCAAATCGAGACATTTTTAGAGAATACCTATTAAAAATATTTTACGTCTAAGTGACAAATGTGTCATTGTCACTTAGACATTCTGCGGGAAATTTTCGCCAGGTAATTTTCGATTTTAGCGGGAAATTTTCGCCGAGAATTACGAGTACGATTAAGTACGAGGGTACATACTTTAAGTTTACACTTAAACAAAATTACCAAGTTTTTTATTCTAGGAGCTACAGATGCCCGACGCACTATTGCCGAACCCTGTAGAGCTTTTTCGGAAGCCTGAATCACCCTGTATATAGAGAAGTACCTACAAAGTATTTTTTTAGTTTCAGAAAGCAAACAGAAACCAGCATCCGTGTCAAAGTCCAGCGTGGTCCTCCTCAGCCGATCAGATTACGAGAGCATTATCGACATTCTGAACTCCGTTTTGGCCGCGTACAAGCAGCAAGAAAAGCGCGAAAAGCTGGAATTGCTGAAAAAGAATTTGGGCAAGAGTATCACCGAGCCGACTATGAATAACAAATCCGATTTGAGGGTCAAGAGGAAAACCTGTTCGGACAGTCTCTGCGACAAGAAAGAGATCGAGAAAAAGGAGAATAAAAAGTGGACATCGAGCTGTGACCTATAAAATGTTTTTTTGCCCTGTGTATTTATTAGGAAAACAAAATGAAAAAAATATGCTTTTGGTCTCATTTAATTAATAAATGTTTATTTGGTTTGTTTTGTGTTTTTATGTTTTTTTTTTCAGGTAACCTTTCGACAAACGATGAGAGAAAAAAAGGAGATGACGTTCATACCAAACTAAAAAGTTTCTAATATTTTTTAAGTTAACTATGGATGGGTTTTTAATTTTTAACTCTATGGGTTTATATATAAATCCGTTATACGTCATCTCTTGTTGTTTTTAATCAATTTTATTGGTTTATTTCAAAAATGACAGATCATATTTCATATTTTATTATTGGTTTGATGCTTTAAATAAGAAGACTAAGGAAGGAGCATAATGCTATGCATGTATTCATGCATGGTGGGCGGAAAAAGGACTGTAGGATGGGGATCCTTAACAGTTCTGTTCGACGATTCATTTGACACATTTGAATTTAATTTGAAATTTTGTGGATCTGTCAGTCTTTACAGAGCTTATTTTATATTATTTATTATTTATTCTACTACTGATAGTTGTATAAAGGTAGTAAATCTAGATGTAAATTGTGGCAGAACTTAAATTAACAGTGACACTATCGCGATTTATCGAAAAACACTTTAAAATAGTTGGTTGTGTAGCGTGCGGTAGATCTCGGCAAAAATCGAGTGAAATAATGGAACAACTTTTCGCTAGTAAGTGACTATACATATAATATACATACGTGTAGTAGAACCGATCATTTATGAAATTCACTTAAATTGATTAATTATATATTTTTTTCTTGCATTTTTGCTTTTATTTCAGGGGGTAAGTACATGACCAATTTCTGTACACCAGAAGGCAATGAATGCCTCGATTACTCGAATATTGCCCCGCAATGCCCCTTTCCTACTCAATCATGCCCGACAATGCCCCACATTGCACAACAATGCCTCGTATTGCCCATTAATGCCTCGTATTGTCCAACAATGCCCCGTATTGCCCAACATTGCCTGGCAATGCCCCCTAATGCAATATATATCTACCTCTTTTCATTGGATGTGGTGAAAAGAGACAAATAATATTAAAAAGGGTAAACACTGTTTTATAGCCCCTACATAGTTCTTATGTATTTTATTGTCATAATAAATAACTAAAGGCACAAAAACCATAATATTTTTTTTTGTTTAAAAACTACACATAACAGAAATATAAAAAATAAACTCGCTTTCGCAAGAACAACTTAGAACTAATAACAGACGAACAGTTTATATTTATAGGTATAGGAAATTGCAGACAGGCAACTTTTCCCTAATTTAACCGACCGTATACCTCTTTCCATTTTGGAGACAGCAACAGTGGTATCGCTTAAAATGAACTGCCATATACATACTGCGATAATAACTACACTGAATACCTACTCCGAAACAAATAAACAAGCTAGCTGGAGCTAGAGCGTTGACCCGTTACGCTGACGGCTGCAAGCCGTTTGAGTTTTGGTGACGTAATGACGTAATCAAAGTGATGGTGGGAGGATGCGCGCGCATATACACAATACCTTGTATTTCCCAACAATGCCTCATAGTACCCCCGCAATGCCCCACAATGCCCCGCAATACTCGACAATGCCCAATGCCCCGCAATGCCTGACATTGCCCCGCACTGCCCGACACTGCCCCTAGGTTGTACACCACATTGCCTCATATATAGTCTGTCCAACGAGAAGATAGATGTGTCTGTCATTTTAATTTCAAAGTAGTTTATTTTATTTTACAAAGAAATAAGTTGGTACAACTGGAACGCATAGCGATATATTCTAAGGATATATTGAAAATTTGATTGACGAGATGACAAGTGATTACTTCAAAATATTGTGAAAAAAACTGTATAAAACTGAAAAAATGTAATCGAGTTATTTTATTTAATAAAAACGGTATGTGTTAATACAAAACAAACAAGAACAAGACACTACATACCAAAAAAATATAAAAAAGAACTATTATTTACTTTCAAGCTTTATGAAACTACCCGCATTTATGATTATATTTATCAATATAACTTATGTACAAATACAAATTTGTAATATTCCACAGGAATAAATAAAACAACATAGGTAAATAAAACAAACTATTTTATTAATAATAACACCTACCAAATTTTATACCTTAAAGGTTGATTAATTAACTTTAATCTTAATTTTTTTAAACCAGTACCACAACCAGTACCTTTTGACATTAATTTTCTGCAGTACTAAAATCCATTATTTACCTATCGTGTGATGTCGATATTTTACAGCTACTTCAGTTTTTAGTATGTGTTTAGTTTGATCCTTCTACCATATACGAGATGGCACTTATCTACGACGAAATGGTATACAAACTTTATCGATGGCAACTTCATTGATGTATAAGACTTTCTGCCTGGGCAGCGAGTATTAACCATAAACTGTGCTCTGGGTCTACAGTTAATTTTCACTCGATTTTTCCTCCACTTGACTTCAAAAGACACAAAACACACGTAATAATACGAATCAAAATGCATCATCTTCCAAAACGCAGGGTATTTAACAAAAGTTGACACAAAATTATAACCTATAATTTGGCAAGACTTTGACAAGCGTCAAAAATGACAAAATCTAAAGGCGAGTTCATACGCATCGGCGTCCGTTTGTCGTTCATCGTTCCGTCAAACCAATAAAATTAAAATACGATCTGTCATTTTTTAAATAAACCAATAAAACTGGTTAAAAACAACAAGACACGACGTATGACGGATTTATATTTAAACCCATCCATAGATAATTTAAAAATTATTAGAAACTTTTTTTAGTAAAATAAATAGATTGGTATGGGACGTCATCTGCTTTTCTTCTGTCATCGTCTGTCGAAATCTTACCTGAGAAAAAAAAACAGAGTATACTTACCCCCTGTTTTATTTACTACGTCAAAGATTAGATGTCAAAGAATTTAGATACGTCAATTCAAACCTGCTTCAGTAGCGTATCGGATGTTTGTGTGAATAAATAATTATTAAAACTTATCTATTTTTATTATAATAATATGTTTTTATAACAATCTTAATAACAACCAACATTTATTCACAACGTAAAATAAAAAAAAATATTGAGTCTACCCCACGTCTACCCTACATCATAGTTTTACATTTTTTAAATAAAATTAGAACGGCACTGGTAAACCGGAATTTAAGTCGGCCATATTTGAGTCCCATCTTGGTGGATCTAAGATTTTTGATATGCTCCTTCCTTAGTCTTCTTATTCAAAGGTTTGGTGGAACGATGAACGACAACCGGACTGATGCATATGAACTCGACTTAAGATTTTTAAGAATTGTCAAACTCTTGCCAAATTATAGGTTATAATTTTGTGTCAAATTATGTCAAATAGAAATTATAAATAATTTGCATTTTGCATTTTGGAATGTGCTGTGTTACTACGTGTGTTTCGTGTTTTTTAAAATTAAGTGGAGGAAAACTCGAGGGAAAATTAAGTGTTGACCCAGACCATAGTTCACAGTTAATATTCGGTGTCCAGAAATCGCCAGAGAGAGTTTGCCAGAGATTATGACTAGAGAGTTGAATTAACCACAAATAAAGTTTCTATACCATCTCGTATATGGTACCAAAAACTGGAGAATCTGTAAAATATTATAGCAGCACACGATAGGTAAATACATTTTAGTACTGCAGAGAAATAATGTTAAAAGATACTGGTTTACAAAAATTAAAGTTAATTAACCAAAAGTGTTATTATTGTAAAATTACTTTCTTTTATTTATGTTGTGTTTTATTTATTCATTTGCAATATTATTATTTTTTATTTTTACATAACTTATATTGATAAATGTAACAATAAACGCAGGTTGCTTGAGCTTGAAACACGGCTTAAAAGCAGGAAATCTTTTTTATATCTTTTTTTGGTATGTGGTGTTTTTTTAAAATACACTCTTGCCTGTTTTGTATTAACACATACTGTAATTGTTTTTAATAAAAAAACTGAATTAGATTTTTCAATTTTATACAGTTTTTTCACAATATTTTGAAGTAATCACTAATGCGTTCCAATTATACCAATTTATTTCTTTGTAAAATGAAATAAACTACTTTGAAAATAAAAAGACACATCTATCACTGTCAAGGATCTTGTCGTTGGACAGACTATATTTCGTTTGAATAAATGGAGAAGAATGGAGAAATGCTTTATAGTTCACCATGTCATAAAAAATATCGAAAAGATGCAGTCTGCTGTAATATTATTATGAAATTCCTCCTTGGCGTCTAACGACTTACGTACGTTCTTCTGCTTCTTCTTCTTCTGCTTGGCGTGCAAAAGCGAAGAGACGGGTTTGGTTCACTAGGCAACCGGAGGTCGTTGAATCCGTGGCCGTGGCCGTCGGGCAACCGCAACAACAGCAGCGGCAGCAGGAATTGCGCAACTCTTATTCTTCGCTTTTTTCCTATATACCGTCATCGGCATCGGCGGCCTTCTTCTTCTTCTGTTCGTGCCCCAGCCTCTGTTACGGACTTTCGGTTCTTCGGAAGAGTTTTTTTGATTCTATAGGTAATTAAATTTGGAGAATGTTATCTAAGATTAATTATTAGATATTCTGTTTACCAAACCATTCAGTGTTTAACCGATATTTTTCAGGAACTGATGGTTACTGTAGTTTACCAAAAACAAGCAAATTTAAAGCACCCTGTAGAATGGTTTAACAAAGTCTAATCTACAGGGTGGTCCGAACTGTATTCCGGAAACTTCGACAGCATATTTTGCAGATAAAAATAAGTAAAACAGTCCGTATAAATGTTTCTCCGAAAATGCTTAGTTTCGGAGATACAGGGTGTAGAAGTTTCATTTTTATTTCGATTTTTTTTTAAAAATTACTGAAGTAACGTCAATATTTGGATGAAAATTGGTGTCTGGGAGTTTTTTTCACATGAGAAGCTTTCTTTTGATGTCTATATTACTCTTACTTGTAGAGAGCGCCACCTACATATTTTTAACTGGTTTGAAAAGTAATAACTTTTTGTCCGTACCTGTATAAACCTGTAAAAAAATTGTGTTTTTGGCATGTCCA